CTGGCCGTCCAAGGGTAACTAAGACGCCTAAAAATAAGTTGTCACTTGAAGAGAAACATGGGATGCGAAATAATCTAGGCTTCTAGAACTTACCATGAAAGGTCTGAGTACCACAATCGGCCAGTCAACAAACAATTCTGGAGAGAGAAAATACGCCAAGTGAGCAGACGGTACTCTGGAAGTACCCTTTAAGCGTAACACTAAGCTAGTGAAACGCTTTTTAAAGACCTACAGTCGTTTTCAAACTTGTGGATACGCAAAGCATAGAAACGTGTTTCTTGCGGGGACTCCGATATGCAAATGTATCACTTACTCACTCACTCACTCACTCAGGTGTAGACACTGTTCGTAATTAGTTGGCCCAAACGAGAGCGCCCGAGCCCAACGCCATATTGGAATAGTAACTGCGCAGTCAGCATGAGCCTTGCTATCGTGTTTGTGTGGTTACTACTCAAAGGATGCATCGTGCCAGCCCGAATTGATAATTTTGTAGCTTTTACACGCCATTAACGTTAGGTGTTTTGCTAAATTGAAGAGGAGTTGACTTCGAATGTTTGAATTAGTACTATGGCCAACTTGAGTGCTGAATTTCATGAGCATTTGACTCGTCCAGGCGTTCAAAATGACCAGGAGATGAGCATTTTTTTTGCTTGAAAGTGACCTACTAATGTGGTAAGCTTTGATGAAAATGTGTCTTATTCGAGGACCTTAATGAACTTATATGAGCAAAACGAACACATCTCAATGAACGAAACCAGGACAAACATTGGCACCATTATATAATATTGTAATTTCATTTCTATAATTAGTAACATGTAGACCTGAGGCCAGCCGAAATATTGTATTGAATAGACCTTGTGTCAGCCTTGCAGTAGCCGTTGTATTATTATTGTTTTACTTTTCGAGTTTGGCTGATTAGATCTCCTGTGAGATCCAACTTTCAATCAAGCTGGATCTTTGTTCAGAGCTTTGCAGTTTATAGTACTTAAGTTTTTTTCATGTGGAGTAGTCCACGTTCAACCGACATCGAGTTAAGTTTAGATTAAAGTTGTGTTCTCTATACTTGTGTTGTTTATTTTAGTATATTGATCTGAACTCTGAGTGGAATGTGAAATGCACATAAACTTGGAAAAAAATTCCCAAATGATTTTGATAAGCTTAAATGATGTTTACCCAGTCTTGTGTTTACACTTTTGCTTCCTGATTGAAAACATAACAAAGGGAAAGAAACACCATGTGAGCTCGTAGGAGCACATGTTTATGGGTGGACAGATGTTTTGGATCAACACTGAAAATGCTTGCAAAAGAGGCTACTTATTTTGATGCATTTTACATGCAATATATATAGAGACAAGCAGTTCCACATTGGAAAAGAAGTGCTGTCTCAAGAAACCTTACCTATAGCCTTGAGTGAAATGCAATGAAAAAGGTCTGTTAGCTCGTACAACTTGAATACATGCAAATTTTCCCAGCAGGCAGACAAACATCAACATCAAGATCTGGGTGTATGTGTGTTGGGGGGGTGGAGGGGGAGTAGTCTATTAATTTTGTTGGCATGAGTGTCTTGTGTGACCCAAGAGTCCTTAGCCTTTACCACTCCATGTTCAGCTGCAATTTTGCTACCCTAGCTATTCTGTAATACGTGTGCAACAAAAGCCAACGAAAAAAACCTACGTTTTCTGAGATAAGTGCAACCTTGCGTGGTAGAAACCCCGCTTGTTTTAACAGCATGTTTCATGTTTCATCTCTAGGTTACTTAATCCACGAGTTTGACCATAGGTCTCCATTGATTTCATGTTCCATTGAGATCCCTCCTTTTGATTAGTAAGTTCCCTTTCTATCTTTTACACTTACCTAATGACCAACTTCAGAAGCACAACCACACAACACTGGCCTTCTTGAATTGTGGACCACACACTTAAAGACAAGTGGATGCGATTTTTGTTCAAGGTGACAAGGGTGTCAATGGCCAATAAGAGAATTTGCTGATCACTATTGGTCCAGATCACCAACAAGCTGGTCAAAACAGCGCCGCTAATTGATTGCTAAAATAGATAAGCATTTCCCCAGGGCTCCTAAAACGTGGGTGTCAGCCTCATGGAATGCCCCAGTACAAAGCTGACAAGATGCAGGCTTGAGATAAGGAATGGCTGGATTCATTCCAGATTTGAAGTGAAACCAGTCCAATAGACTTTAGCTAAGAGCTTGTTAGCACAAGACTGCCAAAATTTCTTTGGTTTTACCAAGTATGACAACCAATTTGTTATCGTTTGTTGGTGATGGCGAGATCAAAGAAAAATCAAAGCGACACTATTCAAACAATTCAATTAAACCTGCGGAAACATGCTATCAAGCGAGCAGCGGGATAATCGAATCATCGTCGTGGGTAATCGTGGGAAAACTCAAAAACAGTGGAATGTGTCAACCACATGGCAAGATCAAAGAAAAATCAAAGCGAGATAAAATTTACTTGATTGACAAGAAAAAACCACAACCACAGCCTTAAAACGCGAGCAGTGGGATATGTTATAATGATAATGGCCTTTCGCACGAGACAACAACCAAATCGCATTCAAAAGTAAATGTCATAATATCAGACTTGATATCATTATCAATATATGTACTTGATATCATGATATTATGAAATTATGATATCACTATGTGTAAGCCCTTTCGTAACCTGTCTCCTTATCCTGGTTATTGTAAACAACTGAACCGAAAAATAGTTTGTCGTGGAATTTATCAACGCCTAGTTCTGATCAGATTTAGACAATAAAGGAACTCTGTGATAGCACCGGAAATTTACTGTGGTGGTATAAACTTCGTTGACCATAAACTTTGTTTACAATGCTGTGATATCTTTCCATTTAAAAATAATTGATAGTGGCCCTCAACCTTCTGAGCATTTAATGATCATTGAGGAGAATGGCAAATCTGTATACTGTGAAATGTCACTTCTCTCTTACTGGACGACTTACTTTAAAATTAAATATCTTGTTAAGAATAATTAAATTTTGGATACACGATGAAATCATTCATAAATATATAGACATTCAAAACCAAGCACATGATGAAACAATCCAAAGCAATCATATACCAGCAATTAAAAATAAGTTACAAAAAATAAAATATCACATCTCAAACCACTGAAAAAGACACCAACTGGAGTTAATCCACACCAATAAAAAGTTGAGTTTTAGATGTAAGCAAATCTGATTATTTGGAACAAATAAAGAACCTAAAACATACACAAGCTGTAGCTAAACTACGATCAGGCAACCACAGACTTAGAATCGAAACTGGAGATACTGTATCCCTAAATTACCTGAATCTCTTAGGATTTGTCAATACTGCCGCTCTCATTGTGATCGTTATAAAACTATTAGGCGACAAATAACAAGTGACACTGTACTAAAATGTATACCCATCATTCGATCCCTTGAACAATACTGATAAAACCCTATTCCTATTTAATAATATTGATTTGTTTATTTGTAAGAAAGTAGGTTATTTTGTATATGGAACTTTGCATAAAAGAGAAACTTGTAATCCTATTTAATGTAATGTGATTAGTGGTATTGTTATTACCCAGGCAGTGAGGCCTGGGTTTAAATTTCGGCTCCGTTTTTTTTTTCCACGTTCAGTCACAAATCGCTGTCTGGTCTCTAAAGCACATGCGCCACCTGTGCATGCGTACAGCACATGGAATTGACAGAGGTTGTCATCGAGAAAAGTTAGCACGGATTCCATGATTTCTAGGGCGATGAAATCACATACAAACGAACACACCATTCAAGGTAGACCAACACTAAAGGACATTAAGCATTTTCGGAACAGGCCACTGCAAGCATTAAGAGAGATCAATTTATGAGCAAACATTTTGAGTGAATCATGAATCATGTTATACCAAAGGAGCTATCAACCGGGGCTATCAACTCTTCAACTTGAAAAAAAGCATCTTCAGAAACATTTTTGTATTTTTAGACGTGATCGTGAACCAAGCAGAATCCCAGCACGAGCCCAAGGACGTCTGAGCAACAAGAGCAGAAAGGTTAGAGAATTTGTTTACGAATTCATCTGTTCGAGTACACCTAAGTAAAATGCTCCGAGAAACTTCGTAAAGTATGATAAAGATAAAATCTTGAACTAAACGATATTTTCTCGTTATTTGCTTGTAACAGAGTTATGTGTCTTAACAAGAGTGAAACTCATGTAGCAAATTTTGTACATTTAAGCTGAAAGAAACTAATGTATGTTGACCCCAGCAAAAACAATTCTTGGCTTGCACTGTCACGCAATCCTGACGCAATAAAAAATTTATTTGAAAACCATTTAGTGGATAAAATTAAGAAATTGTGATGTTATAGGAGATTAATAAAGGTGACACTCCTCTGCATTTTCCCAAGCTCAGGTATTCGTCTAAATATTTTGCACAAATTTATAGAGACCAGTATGGAACCGCCGTGTTGGTGTACCTCCTCGGTACGCCTACATTGCGGGCGGAAAATATTGTAAACATCTGGAACTTACTTTGGCTATCTAGGTGGCTGATTATCTGTACTGAACAAATAAGCATTTACATAAGCACTTTTCCTAATACTTTAACTTCTACATGGGCTAAAAATCACGAGATAAGTATATGATTTCGACAACCGTGTTCTTAGTTCTATGTCACGCATCGCCATAACTATGAAATTCAAAATGTCTCGCTTGCTTGAGAAACGCAAATAACAGCAACAAAGGCTAAGGAAAATAGACTGGAACGTTTATAGGTTGATATACAGACCTTGACTCATTTCAGACCCTAGAGACTTGCAAGCAAGTAATAAGCTATTAATCAATTCCAAGAAATGCAATCAAAAGCAGAAAAGCTTAAGCAAATCAATTCGATTGAATTTTGTACAACTTCAAATGCAGAACATTTAGCTCAATTGCAATATAGCTATTGCTTCTCAGTATAATGAGTGCCTGGGTACACGCAACAAAGCGTCTAGTCTGTAATTTCTTTCTTTTTATATATTTTATATATTGTTAGTTAAGGTAATACCATCCAGATATATGAATACCTATAAAGTTTTGTTGTTGTCTTACCTTCGAGGAGAGAGAGCCTTCCGCTAACCCCAGAAATGTCATCCCCAGTTCTTCTCGGCTGTCCTTAAGACCACTTCGGTCTGGCTTGTATGAAGTCGTGATCAAACCGCTGACTGGAATGTCATGCAGTGAACAGTGAAAACCAAGATGGCGGACGTGGAAAACCCAGCTGAAGCATCCAACAGGAAAAAACAGTCAGCGCCAACTTCAGACACGTCAGAGCCTGTAAGGTTTGGCTTGTTACCAGTTAATCACAAATGACCTATGCTATGTTGAAATCTGAAAGTAATCTGTTCAATATCTATGCGTCCAACTGGTGGAAGATATTAAATCAGGACCCCAGAAATATATTATATTCTTATGCCGAGCCCAAAGACAACGAATTCAAGTCAACCAGCTTGTAAATAACAATTTTACCGTATTTCAGTGATTTGATCCTGTTTATCCAAATAATTTTGCATTAGTATTGAATATACTTCTATAAACTACTCCTGAGAATATGGTTGATTAATTTTCGCTTAAAAGTTTATTCAAACTGGATTTCTTTTTACATCACTAGACATTTTTTTGATATCACTGGATCTTTTTTTACATGAACTTTCTCTGCTGGACAGGCCCTAAAGTCCCTCATGAAGTTTGAGCCACACTTCATGGGATGAGTTAATCGTAACATTTATTTCATACAGTAAGATATGCATTAACATTTATTTTAAGCTTGCCAAGGAAAATTCAGACCAAACTGAAGGAAAAAGGCAGCTGAATTTTTGCATGGCAATTATGCTTTCAGCTTAGTCTGACGAAAAATGCCCAAGCCAGCTAATGTGTTATCTATTGAAAATCTTTTGTGAGGTCAGGAATTTTCTATGACATATTCTAGCAGTTTCTATTGACACTGGGCCATCATAACTGGAAAAACATAATTTTCTCTCTTTATTTATCGATCCTTCTCCAAATGCAGGGAGCTAGATTTTCCTGGGCACAGCAAGAAGTAAACACATTTGCAATGACCAGGAATTTTTCTTTGCTGTACGGGTTCTGAAGTCGCTGGAGTCAAGTGCTTGAAGTCTGGCTCCATAGGGTGAGAGAATCCTATCATTTATTTCATATCTGATCCTAAAATCTATCAGGTTTGCTAAGGCTTCCGGCAGCATTTCCGACAAATCTTTCGACTTGAAATATTTTTAACATTTTGAATATTTGAAATGTTGACTTTTGAATATTTATCTATTTCAGCTATCATTTTTTCATCCATTATCATTTGATATTTAAGTGTATATTATTTAATCATTTTGGAGAATGCAGCTTCAGATCAGCACTTAATGTCTTGCCAGTTAACCAACTGCAACCTGCTTTACCGAATAAATTATGTAGTATGTATGTAGGTATGTAACATACTTAATAAGTCTTTTATTCGATAACTTCTCAAGGGTTGTCAAAAGACACATAAGTAAACGGTTGCTTGGTTAATGAAAAGTGTCTGTCAGGGCTCTTTCTGGCTTGTTACCAGTTAGTAGCCATGCAATGATCTGTGTTCGGTTTAGAGAGAATAGAAAATCACAGAAGAACTTTGCAGGTAAACATCCATGCATCTCATGGAAATAAGTTGACTCCTGGTTAGAGAGACTTGGGGTGTATTCCAGAATGCAGAGGCCAGACAACTTACATACATATGTTCTCCATCCTGGCTGTGGGGTGATGGTGGGGAGGGGGGGGGGTTTGAGGTTAGCTCAGCCAGTAGCCCTTAGCAAGGCTACACTATTTTGCTTTATTTCAGTTTGGATTTAGAGATAAATTGGGCTAGAAAACAAAATGTACACAGCAAATAAACAAATTGGTAGACACTTTTATTAAGTAAATGAGTATGTAAGTAAATGAGTTAATCTTTGTGCATGTTTTGTTTTTGTTGTGCTATAAACAGGAATTTGAGAGTTTACCCGTTTGAAAAAGCCCCTCAATTTTCTTTTTGGCTCTCTAAAAAAATGAAACGCAGAAACTAAAAATATCCAATTTTGCTGTGGCTATAGCCAGAAAGAATTAGACAAATGTGTAAAGGTGTTACCGTTGGTGTTATCTGAGTCCATTTTGATCACTCAGTGCAGGTCTTGATTGTCTAAACGGGGAAACGTATAACACAAATGCATCGCGTCACATTAAGCGTCACATCTCAAATTAACCTGAACAGTTTATTCCATGACTGTAACTGTATCGTTATACATGTGTTATTGACAATCTTTTTCGGTCAAGATGCTGGACTGGATATTGGCCTTGTTCTTTTGCGTTGTTATCGACCTAGACAAAGTCCAGACGAGCTCTCTTGACCGAAAAAGCTTGTTAGGAAAAGGATTTATTACACAGTCATGGCCTTGAGAGCTTTTTTTTCCGTGGGGAAAAATGCAAGGAATCTCGAGCGAGCAAGAGATACGCCCATCTTGCCCGTTCTGGTGGTCAACTGGAACACAGGATCCGCTTCTTTCCTGCTCACAAAGCCAGCCAAATAGCATGACCTTTCACATAAACCTTGAATACTGAATATTTATTCTTCAATATCTTCAGATTGGTGCACTTTCAAGTGAGTTTTGAATACAGATCACAGACTTAATGCAGCTTCCTGGACTTACAACAGAAATTTATTTCCCATATATGTGGATGGTATTACCTTAAATAACAAAATATGAAATATATAAAAAGAAATAAATTGGAGATAACAATACCACTAATCACATTACAATAAATAGGATTACAAGTTTCTCTCATATGCAATGCTCCATATACAAAATAACCTACTTTCTTACAAATAAACTGGTCAACATTATTAAATAGGAATAGAGTTTTATTAGTATTATTCAAGGGATAGAATGATGGGTATATATTTAGTACAATGTCACTTGTTATTTGTTGCCTAATAGTTTCATAACAATCACAATGAGAGCAGCAGTATTGACAAATCCTAAGAGATTTGGGTAATTTAGGGATACAGTGTCTCCAGTTTCGATTCTAAGTCTGTGGTTGCTTGATCGTAGTTTAGCTACAGCTTGTCTATGCTTTAGGTTCTTTATTTGTTCAAAATAATCAGATTTGCTTACATCTGTTTTAAACATAGAGTAGAAACTCAACTTTTTATTGGTGTGGATAAACTCCAGTTGGTGTCTTTTTAAATTGTTTGAGATGTGATATTTTAATTTTTGTCAATTATTTTTAATTGTTGGTATATAATTGTTTTCGATTGTTTTGTCATGTGGTTGGTTTTGAATGTCCATATATTTATGAATGAGTTCATCAACTGTGGACATAAAACAGGGTTTTGTTTCATTTGCCGGTTGATTGGAAATGATTAAGCATTGTTTGGCAATACTGTTATCTGGAAGAGATTCAAGATGTATCCAAACTTTAATTATTGTTATCAAGATATTCAAGTTGTCCAGTTTCATTTTGAACTACCACATTAAGTGCTCTTCTGTTGAGGCCAAGAAAGCATTTGTAGAATTGTGTGTGTAGTCTTTCTACTGGGTCTTTTCCCCCATTTTTTGAAGTTCATATTATTGTAAGCTCCCCAAATTTCGGACCTGTATAACACAACCAGAAGAAACAAAGTATCAAATAGTTTATTACACGTGTTGATAGATAGTCTATTAAAGTCAAGATAACGTTTAGAAGCAAAAATAGATCTTTTGGCTTAAGAAGACAAAAATGGTAATGTACATTATTGCTTCAAAGTTGAATTCAACTTTTGGAACGATTAGTAACACCATGGCCGATAGAATGACTGCAAAAGTGGTCGGGAGAAACTCGAAGCTTTCGTTTTAGCGTGAGAATTAGTTTGAACATGCGGTCATGTAGCAAAGCACATCTGCGAAATTTTGAAATTTTTTACTTTTAAGTAAGTTTTTCCGCCTCAGCTTGAATGAAAATTTATTGTTATTGAACTTCCTTTCACATTTTTTTCATTTGGTGCCCTGTTTTGGGGAATTTTAGGTTTAAAAAGTGAACAGTATTTTTGCACGCTAGATTTCTGCACATTTTATCTACGGCGACCTCTCGGGTTCGTTTGATTAGTTTATTCGCTTCGCTCAAGGATATTTTTGGGAGTCTTATTCAGCTACTACAGAACTGCTGAGAAAAGACTTAAGTGGCCACTAATTTGGTAGATTTCAAATACGATTGATCTCAAAATAATAAGCTCAATTGTTTTTGTCCTCTTTTTGACTTACAACTTTAATCTTTCTTTCCTGCGCTGTAATATTTTGTCGTGCGATAAAGAAATTATTTGATTTCTTGATTTTAAACTTGTTTTAACATGTGCCTTTTGCGTTTATTTTCCTTTGTTTTCTTAAATGTTAGCCGTTATAGTACAAGATTGGAAATTCTGTTGTATTTGGTTTCACTTTGTCCTCCGAAGTCAATAATAACCCATTGTTGTGTATTCAATTTTCTCGGCTTCTGTTGGGCATTTTGTCGAGCGGCAAAGAAATAATATAATTTCTTGTTTTCTTATGACTTTTAAACATCAAGTTAAGTTCTTTTTGTTGAAATTTTAAATATTTTGGCCCTTCATTTATTCAGCTTAAACTAAACCATGTTTTGAAACCTAATCTTGTGTGTGTGGTTACTGCGCACATGGTTTATTTTTAGTGCTTGTGCTCATTCAGAAAAGTAAAAAAATCGCCGGGAATTTAGGGATGGGTTTCATTCGGGCGTCAATGGGTTAAAGATTTAAATTATCAGCGAATTTCCTTGGTTTGTTATTTTACCTAAGTCCGCTTTGTTTGCTTTAAATTTTACTGAAGTAACGACGGGATTCAGATAAGTCTTAAAGGTAACTCACCTTAGTTCAACGTAACAAGACAAAAGAGACTGGTTACAAATTTCACGCCAGTTTTTTATGGTGCCATTCTCATTCCCAGAGGCCGCACGACTTTTGGTCAGCACCGGGAATTGCGACCTCTCGCCCCGTCTAACATCGAAAGTCTGTGAATCGCAGACTTCCCGTCACTCTATGCATGCTCACAGTCAAGGGAAAAGTTTTCATTTTGTTAGGAGGGAAATGTATGTATCGACTACGACTATCGATTGTGTGGATTCTTCGTCCTTTTTCCAACAGATCAAAAAGTGAACTCAAGGTTGCGTTCATGTCTGTAAAGTAACTGTCAATGTGGTACACATTTGCAAAATATTGGCAGAGCAAAAACTTTGGCAAGGTTAGCTGCTTAGCACCAGCAATTTAACCTCTTACTGCAAAATATGTTTAATGTTTTACCTAGATTAATAGATAACACAGCGATTTTTTGGAAGAAATTACTGTTTCCTCTTTGCTTTTATATGCAATGCAGAAATTTTCTCCACTCGCAACACTCCTCTTTTATCCGGGCTTGGGACCGGCCTAGATGACAGTTTTCGCACATCTAAGGCAGAGTTAAAAAGCTATGGGTCAAGTAGGCTTAATCTAGAATAACAAAACTGTATCAAGTCTTCAGGAATATGCCATTAAATGGTATTCATTTTTTTCCATTTTGATTGAAACTTTTGGTTATACACCCATTTACAGCTAACTGGGGCCATTCACAGTTTGTTAAGTAAAAAATGAAGTGTTTGTGATCCCCACTAACACTTTTGAATATAATAATGTGTAAACTTTCATTTTCTGAGTTTCCACAAAAAAACGACAAAGTAGTTTGCAAGTTAAATTAAAAAATTTTCAATCCTTCAACCTTTAACTTTTAAACTATCACGCGGTAGAAATCGAGAGCGAACAATCTGATTGTTTTAGTATAAATTTAGTAGTCATTCAAAACTTTATCTAAATCCTCTTTCAAAATGCCAAGAAGCGGCCATCATTTTGATTACAAGGTACAAGGGCATACTGCTACGCTACTCGCTATCTATCACAAAGTAGATAGTGAGTAGCTTAACCAATCAGGGAGCAGCATTCGTGGTAGAACGCTAGTAGATTTATACTGATAATGGTTAGAGGTCACTGGAAGTAACGTTTTGTCACTTTTAATTAGCAACGTATATGGGAGAAATTAACTTGCTTTATTATTTGTTATAACTTGAAACTTGACAGAAATAACATTTTAGCAGTTTTACAAGTTTTAAGTTTAATCATATTTGTGACCTGATTTGGGAAAACGTACCCTAACGGATATCCGTTTAACGGTTTGAAAGCGTTTTCTACCCGTTTAGTATCCGTTAAAACGGTTTCCAAAAGCGTTTAAACGGTTTCTAGAAGCGTTTAATCCGTTTTTTGATCCGTTTGATAAAATTGGCAAAACGTTTTTAAAAGACCATTATCCGTTTAAACGGAAGGACAATCCGTTTAAACGGGAGGGCAATCCATTTAAATGGAAGAACTATCCGTTTAACAGCAAACTTCTTCCGTTTTATAGAAAGTCTTAGTCCGTTTTATAGAACGGCTCGGTCCGTTTTATAGTAAGCCGTCCCAGTTTACATTGTCAGAACCAANAAATAAGCCCTGGGGACTAGGTTGATCCAAATATTTACAGTGGTTAACCGTATAATTATGTGAAAGACACGTATTAAAACATACATGACCAATTAATGACTAACATTCTAACTATATCAATAAATAAACAATAAACAGTCCTAAATCATAAAATCATTACAGTAAATCATAGAAAACTTTACATTAGAAATTTAGCTTGCTTACAGCATTCGTAAATTCCTTAAGGATTGCCACTTGTATTAAAGTGTTCATTTTGTTGTTTTTGTGGGTTTTTTTGACAGAAAACCATTTGACAGTTAGACTGGAAAGACACCATATGTTCCCATCTGACACTGCTCGAAGATTTGATATTTGATTTTATTTGATCTTTGACAAGGAACATGAATAAACTTTTGTTGGGTTGCTGTTTTTGTTGTTTGAATAGGGATGGAGGATCGCTTCAAGGAGTCGTTCTATGGAAAGAATGATATGATGCGGATATGATATGAATTCGTATCTACGTGCGGGTATGTAGTATCCTTTAATTAACACTTGGATTATGAGCTCGAGATTTCTATGAGGTGATAGTTGATGAGGCCGAAGGCTGAATCAACTATCGCGTCATAGAAAAAAAGAGCAAATAATCTAATTGTTTTAGTACAATTTGAACTGACATTTTCTTCAAATAACAAGTCGAATTATTTCTGGTCTTATTTTTAAACTTTACGCTTTAGAAAATGTGTGCGGACTGAATTGCCAATTTGAAATTTGCAGCTGTGTACGTGCGCTTATCAGTTTCTCCCAAAAATTACGAGGTTTATCATTTAAAGAAACCATAAATGTCCTCCTTTAGTCTTGGAAATTTAATTATCCAGTAGTTTGTAAATGTTCATTCAAAACTTTGGAGAAACGAGGAAACGTTGTGGTTGATAATGTGCAATGGCTCAACCAATTAGATTGCAGTATTTGCATTAGTATACTAGTGGAATTCTACAAAATATTTCTCAGTATCAGATTGGGAACGTTGTCAGCTTATCAACCTTAACATCCTTGTACAAGAGGTTCTTATTAGAAAAGCGTACTTTATTCGCCATTTCTTGTCCTTTGATTAATCAAAAAGGAAGAAAGAAAGCAAATTTACTTGGGTTTTTTTGTGTAGTTATGGAAGCCTGAGACAGTCATATCTACTTCTTGAAAACTTCTACGCTTATTTTGCATGCTCCACAGCAAAAAGACTTATACATGCTTGCAGTCGGGGGTATACTTCGTAATGAAGTCCAACATACTTCGTAATTTTGCAACTTTTTTTTTCTTTTTCTGATGGCTAAGTCAATGAAAATTCGTGAATTGCATTATAAAACTTTAAGAGAACTTTATTTTTTTCACGTGTAAAAGGGGGCATAGATGGAAATTTCAGCCCAAGAGGTTCTTGAATTTTAGGACCTCTCCTAGCAACATATCCTTCACTAGCCTTGAAAGTTGTTTCTGGCAAGTTCAATTCCGAGCAAATCAATTTTCTTGTATGCACTTTTAAGGCCCTCTGGATATAATGTCCTTCACCCATAACCAGATCCCTAAACCCCTCTGGAACTTTGTATGTACTATCATGAGCCCGTAAGATTGAACTTGATTCTCCCATATTAACCCTGCAAGTCAACCCTTTTCCGTTTAGCGTTATTTTTAGAAGCGCTTTTTGCGAAAGAAATTTGATCACGTAATCAGAGTTATTGAACTGACCAATCAGATAAAAACAACTGTCATGCATGAATTATGTTCATTTTCAACAACGGCGGAAGGCGTGGAAGATTTTGAACTGCAAGATTTTTTTCCTGGAAAACTCTGTTCTAAAAATAGTTCTAAAAGAGAAAGGATTGACTCAACACTATAATGCAAACGAAGGTTCCTATTCATGGCCTTCCAGCACTATGCCTTAGAATGCCATTGGCAACGCTTTGAAGCAGTTTGAAAAATTTTCAATTTTTGCACTGGGAGTCTCACCACTAGCACAGGGGAATAGACGATTTCTGGTACTAATAAGAGGACAGGCTTCGGGAAAGACTAAAGAAGCAATTGAGCTGTATTTGCTCCATATTAGGAAGAACTAAAAACAATTTCTTTCTGCTCTTGACGTAACACATGCGACTTTATCATCAAACAAACATTTTTATCTGAAAACAACAACTTTATTGTAACAACTACAATATCCTACAAATACATAATATCTTAAAAACTCTCGCACGCTATCTATTTTTTTAAATTTGCATCCATCTCTATCTCAACTATTTTAAACAACAGACAATTACAAGCGCTGCTCGCTCCCTCACCAAATTGATTAATTGAGTTAACATTTCAGGCGACTAACTTATCCTAAACGATTGCCAAATCTATCGTTCTTTCAAACTTAAACTAAGCCGAACAACAAGTCTTTACAATAAAACTCATTGAACAACTTGTATTTTTGCACCTTCAGGGACCAAAACAAACTTAACAGCAACAAATTCTTGCAGTCCCATAGGACTGCTTGTTGAGTTACTGTACTGTAAACTGTAAAGTGAACTTCATCACAATCGCTTTTTTAAACTTAAACTATGTTTAACTACAAGTCATTATCTTTCTTTTTTTTCTTTTTTTGTCAAGAAATAACTTTCCGGCAAATAAAAGATAAAAGACATCGCTGACGGATGAACAACGTGAAACCTTTGGGAAAGTAAATCACGTTTTCAATTTTGAGTTACTGTACTGCGAGCTAAACAACTTTTTAAACGGCAACTGTGTGGTAAGCCGTATACTGTTTGTCTAATCTAGGATGGTTGACAGACATCACTATGTTAGACAATAAGAATCCGACCTGTCAAATAGTTGCATTTTCCTAATTACCAGCCATATTCAGGATAATCGCCGGGTTCCATTGGCAGAGGACTGTAGTAGTCCCAGAAAAATGTTGCCCGAACTTTTGAAAACTTTACTCTGCCTGAAGAATAGGTGAAAGTTTGCACAAATTCTCTGTAGCGATGATAACTGCGAAGCTGCGTTTTCACTTTGTGGTAACTGTCATTTCGTTTCAAGAGGCTGTAGAAGTCTGGATGATCGACAGCTTGCGCGTAATAAACTGCGCTTTCCAGAAATCCGTTCCTATAAAGCTCATAAACAAATGCAGTTCCACTTTCCGATGTGCGAACTTCGTCGAGTGAAAGCAAGTTTAGGAGAAACACGTGTAGGATGTCAGACTTGATGAGCAAATAGCCACAAAATTTTGTTAGTCAAACTAGATCGTCTTTTGCACACCAATGAAATCGTGTGCGTTTTAGTATATTAAAAAGTAAGTCAAGAGCTTCTTTCTCGAACTAATCTGGCAGACACAGCTGACTGCATGAGTGCTGGTTTAGGCAAAGAGTGCAATTGCGCTTGCTTGGGCTGTGGCAAAGAAATGCATCGTAATAGTCACTCATGTAGCTAAAAAGTGGGTTCAATATTGCATGACAATAGGTTTTACATGGCAACGAAACAACCGTTTTATCATCGCTGGCAAGGAATTGTTTGTACAACTGTGGAAGTAGGCCGATTTCTCTAAGCACCTTGCCAATCACTTGCTGATTCATTCTTTCGGCAAAAAGCCACATCAATCCACTAGCCATGATTTTCTGCGTAAATGTATGCCGGCATGGTAAAAGGACTGAAAAACAAAACAAAAGATAGATAGTTTTCACGTTGGCTTCGAATAAATTACCATCATCACAGTCAATTTGAAAAACAGCTAGTTAACCGAATTGTTATTTCTTATAGACCTGTTGGTGATTTCGCTTGTGGATAGTTCGTATAGTGTGATCGTCCGGGTGAGTGTAGTTCTGAAAAGAACTGTTGTTGGTGACTGACGTTTCGCCAACCTGAGCAGAAGTCATCTTCAGAGTCAAGTGAATAGTGTTTGTCAGTCGATGATCTTATAAGTCTTGTCCGTTGAACATGATTGGTCAGTATAGCCATGATGGTATTGGCTGAAAGACTCGTGTAAAGTTTGTCATCAGTCATTGGTGGGTTTCGA